AATTACTCGTCGCGCCAATAGCCGCGTATACGCGCGAATTCGCGGAATTCGATGTAATCATCGGTTCGACGGGGACCCGAGAATAATTAATGAAAACTCGCTACCGCCAAGCCCGTTGCAAATTAAGGGATGCGTTCTTCCGGTCGATTGAACACGGAAGGTTGTGGAAGCCTGCGGACTTGATTATCGCGCACCCGTGAAATGACGACATCGACGCCCGCGTAACTCAGCCCCGAGCCTTCGCAATATTTCGCGAAAAACAATGTAAAGCTCTGAAAGCGCGTTATTTTCCACGCTTCAACGCGAGACTGCGTTCCCGCTCGCGCACGTATCAGAGAGAAAGAGAAGAAAAAAATGCCCTGTAAAACGTAATCGAAATTCGAACAAAATTATTATAGTACGTTGCACCACTGGTGGTGATCATATATATTTCTCTCTCTTTTCTCTCTATCAAGATCAGTGAAAATATTCCTAATTGAAGCAGTAAAAGGAGTATTTCATCGATAGAGTCTGCGAATATTCACTGATTTTTAGTGGAAGCACTTTACCGCTTCATCTTACATCTCATTAATGTTAGTCAATAGAAGTAAAATTTCACTGCGAAATTTGCGGCACACAAATTCTTAATGTGCCAAATCTAACTTTCTACTTTCGTAGCGATGGAATCAATGGCTTCCGTGTTATTTGCGTGCAATAGCTGCGTTCAGCAGAGAAAGCTGCTTTTCAACTGTTGTAAAATTCGTGAATCTGATTGGCATACGCTCTCAGATACAGCTAAGATTAAGAGCAAACGTCAGTCAGTTCCACGAATTTTATAACAGTCACAAAGCAGCTTTCTCTGCTCAACGCAGCCAATGGCACTGCTTGCAAACTGCATCGGAACAATAGCTGCTATTGACGAACTATTTCGGCGATATTTTATCAGTTGTAGCGCTATGCTTCTAACTAAACTATAAGTATAGAGCACAACTCAGTGAAGAATGCACTGATTGTACTTTAGACAGCAGTAAGATGTGTACTTGCGAGGACCACCTACATTGCGAGACTTGCCGTCCCTGCACTCCTTACGCGCCGAGAAACAATTATATCGCGCGCTCGCTTGCGCTCCCTCGGATCCTACGCGCATCGTGACGCCGTGAGCTCTCTTCGGAAGTTAATTAAACACCGAGGGCACCGCGGGGGAGCGCGCGCACCCACGTTATCGCTGCCGCGCGTAGCTGAATCAACACAGCGCGCGCTTCCGGTGCCAAGTTTAAAGCCGTTTTATCAGCGCTCGCGCCGCCGCCGCCGCCGCCGCCGCTGACGACGACGACGGCATTTTCCCGCTCGCGTCGTTTTCGCAGCCGATATTCAACACGGCCGGGGATGTCAGCCACCCTCCTCTCCACCTACGATGCACGAGTTCGCAGCTAGTGCAACGCGAATCCCCGACGAAGGTCGCCGAAGGCGCGTATAGTCGAGGATATGCAAATTGTATTAAGTCTCCCGACTCTCCCTCTCCCCCTCGCCCTGTGCCCCGCTACCCTCCGCGATCCGGCGGTCGTATCTTCTGTATCACAGTCGCCCGAGTGGTATTACGAAACTTAAGCCGTAGCGCACAAGTGTCGCGTTACGAGTCCGACCCAAGAGCACGGCCTCGGCATCCTCACAGTCTCCCTCTCTCCCTCCTTTTCTCCCTTGCTTTGTGCGGCATAAGCCGGGGCCATTATCTCGGCCGTACCCCTGCTGTCTCTAGAACTTGGCGCCCGCCTCGTGCCCCTCGTCTGTGCCATCCGGCTGCCTCTCGGCGCAAAACCTCCAAGGAATCCTTCTTGACTATTCCGTCGATCCGCGACGGCGGTCTTTGTCGAGCCGCGAATCTCACCGTCGCGCAAGCATGTTCGCCACTTAATTAACCCTTGTGCGACTTAAACGCGACCGCTATAAGCGAAGATACTCCCACGGTTCGTTTCCCGGATGTAACCAGCCGGGGGAGATGCACCATCCCTACGGCTGCAACTAAGGTCGCGCCGGGCGCTTACGGTTATTCGCGGCAACGAGTAACGCTTTAATGGCACTGCAGTTATACGTAAGGTACGGAGGCGAATGGGATTTAGAAGATGAATCGGATTTTGTATTTGAACTCTGCCCTTATGGGCAGCTTTACGGTGCACCGTAATGCCGGCCGCCGTCGCGACAATTCTTGCGCTGAGTCGCTTCTTCTTCGGTACGCGATCTCTCGACATCGTATTGTATCGAAAGCAGATGGCACAACGCGAAAGTGCTCGAAACGAGCAGGTATCATCTAATGACCTGATGACGTGCCTCGAGTGCTGTCGTCATTCATTGAATTCGCGCTCGATAGCGAGTCATTTCACGCGAATTGGTTCGACGCGTACACGGTAGACTTAATGTCTTCTTCGGCGAGCTGAACCACGAGGCAGTTCCGATCGACTCATAGACGAGTTAATCATCGTAGGCACGCGCGCCAGTAATCACGTTCACGGTCCAATAATCATACTGTTATAATTAACGCGCCGCAATTAAGGCGTAGCGCGGACGACAATTGAGCCGTGATTGTCGATTAAACATTTTCACGTCGATGCAGCGACACAATTTCCGAGACTGCGCGACGTCGACCCAGCCACCCACTCGTCCCCTCGCGCTTTCGCCCCCGCGAGCCCACCCTGTTGTCGACCCTCGGTCCGTTCGTCGTGAAGGGGTGGCTCGTTAGCTCGCGCCTGGCGCGCGCTGGCCTGAAAGCGCCTTTTAATGTTCTCCGACACCTATGTGCCGTCGGATTTCGCGTCGGCAGAACTCGCGGAGCCAATTTTCGAGCTCGAACGACCGTGAAACGTATTCAGACTCCGGACGAGCGGACACCCCCTGGAATGGTCAACGCGGTGATTTTTCTCAGCGACGCTGCCAAGCAACGGTCACTTCTTCCGCCTCGTTCCTGTTGCGAAAAACGCCACGTCGCGCGTATCAGTGTTTCATAGCTGAGACATTGATACCCCTATGAGATATCCTTCCGAAAAATCAACTTGAAGATTTATAAAAATCGTCATCCTTCCAATTTTTCTGGACGCTCGCGTCTTTGTAATCCGGAAAGGAGATTCGGTACGATCGCGGTATGTACACTGCGTAATTGACGAATAGATTGACCGTCGATTAATCAGCGATTACACGAAAAAAGGATGCTCGAACTGCACTCCTACGGACGTGGCCCCTATCGATCGGCTTTTACGGAAAGCCGGCTAAAGGCGCCGAATGATATCGCCGCCGATCGTTAACGAGTGCCACATATAATAACATTTTTCGCGCCCCGAGGCGCGCAAATAGCATTTCGGTAATTAAACGCACGCGCACACGGCAACCGTTGATGAAGCAATTTTATCGGGCGACCCGCATTTCTCTCGCGATGCAACGACAAAAACGAGAGAAAGAGCGGCGCGGAGAGGCACGGGGAAGAAGAGATAGGAGAGGCCAGGGGAAAACGAGTCGCGCGCAACGAGATGATAGAGCTCCCACCAAACCAGCAAATTGGGAAGTAAATCGTGCAGGATACCCCGCAGCCCGTTAGCCGCGTACACGTGCGCGACTCGCAGGTGGATAAAGCGCGTGGCTGTGTGCGTGCATGCGTGTATACATACACGTGCGTGTGTTTGCGCAAAGAGAGACGGAGAAAACCCGTAACGAACTTCGCGCAATAAGAATTGCAAGTAACACGCGCTCGCCGGTATTATTTCGGTAGCGAAGTCAATTTGCAATCAGCGGTGCGGCCGTGTTCTCTCCTCCCCCCCTTTCACCCCCCTGTCCCTATCCCGCAGCCGTACCACCATCCGACCAACGGAGAAAGAAGAAGAGCACACCCTGTATTTACCATAATGCGATAAGAGGCGAAGGGTATCGTACATTTAAATGAGTCCGTCGCTTCCTCACTCTCCGCGCGCGTCCTTTCCCACGTCCTTCCAGTGCCTCCTTATTTCCTTAAACAGTTGCCAGCCGCGCGAAATCCCCCGTAGGAACCCGACGGAAAGTGGATTTTCCCACTCTCCGAAATTGCTCGCGAATGTGTTTATTCGTTGGCGACTAATGAGGGGCTTTTGGGACCGATCGTGCTCCTCGTTTTTCGGCGGGCAAAGGATCGTCATCGTCAGCTGAACTTTAAGCGGCACAAGTCGACGCGCGATACCGTAATAAACGCGTCGCGAGTCGAAATTTAGAACTCGCTGAATGAAGCCTCGAAAGTGCCAATGTCAACTTTCGATGCTTCCTACACATGCCATCCGACACATTGACGTAACTCTGTTAGATAAATAGAAGTTTCCGCTCCGCTTTGTCCATCTTTATCACATTAGATTATTTTTGACACTTTCTGCGTCTCGACATTTTTCTTAAATACTTACAATATTAAAATGCAATATGACACTCGGTTACAGAAAATAAAAATGTGCGACCTGCGAGGATACACAGAGAAAAATGCATACTGCGTTCAAGTTATTTGCTTCAAGTATTTTATAAGCTTATGTATCCGCAAACCTGTCACAAGTTCATCATAAGGATCATAAGTTACAACAAATTTATTCTAAATATATTCTGAATTTAAGCAAGTTTAACATTTTGTCCATTGGAAAATATCGTAAATTAAAAGAAATATAATTTTTTATTGGATTCTTGAAAATTATAAAATTCTGCATATTACCATTTTTGAACGCAAAAATGGGGAATGCAAATGAAAATTTGTATTATTTATAAATCCTCTAGAACAAAATCCTATACTGGTCTAAACTCAGAATTCAATGAAACACTTCGAGACTTTCCTTTTTGAGTAATCGTCTTTTTCTTAACAGTAGAATATTTTTCTGTGTATACTAGAATAAGAAATTTTGCAAAACATGCAAACTCATCCTCTTCCATCGTTAACAGTCGTTGCTTATCAACAAGCACCGAGTGATCACACAATCAAAACATTCGGGATCTCCAAGGCGGTTAAATTTACTTTTGTGTCTTTTTTCCAGATGTTTTTATTCAGTCCCGAGTCAGCGAGCGATGCGCAACGGACTACGTGCGTCGTACTACGCTATCTATCATTCCCTTACACAATCAAAACATTCGGGATCTTCAAAACGGTCAATTTACCTTTATGCCTCAAGGAGTTTGTCGGGAGTTCTCAGTCAGTTCTGAGCTGAGACGTATAGAAGTCTACGTGTATCCGTGCGCGTCATCTATCTTTCCTCTCGAGTAATTAAACTATTTTGTCGATATTTTGAGACACTTAATTAGTCTGTCGTCGGCGTCGTTATTTAACACGTGTATCTTCAATTGAATCGAATCTACGCGAGTGTGAGTGTCAGTGCCACGATAGAGCAGCCAGGATACTTCAGGATAGGCAGAGAAGTCAGAATAGAGGACAGAGGACGCAGAACGTCGAGATGCGCAGACAACGACTTACATCATATTTTTAAGGTGCGCCAAATCATTTATTATACAGGAAGTTTTCGTTTCTAACGAAACTTCGACGAATTTACCGAGAGTAAAAACATACCCGAGTCGAAACCTAGGCTAGCATTCACAGTCCGTTATTATTTGACAGGTAATTTTAGCTTCATAAATCTTCGATTATTCGTCAATTTGTGGCTACATTTATTTCAACAATACAACATCAATCCAAACAGTCAATTGACAGCCCATCAATACGAAACAATAATTAATTATGTTCTCTAACAAAAATCGTAAATTATTTCAGCTGTGAATACTGGCCTTAGAAACTAATGTGTTTTGAAAGTGTTAATTTTCCAGTCTAATAATGCTCCTCGAGTCGCGATTCCTTTCTCGTTTGCATCTGCTAACAACCTTTTTATCACTTGTGTCAAATATATTGTTATTATACCGAATTCCAGTTTAAAATTTTACTGGAGCATAGCATTATTAGATACATAACTGTTATCATTATTCTTACAGCTTCATATCAGCTCTTTTAAGAGCTACAAATCTCATCGAAATTTCCATAAAAAAACGAGGAGTGGAAACCAAAAAAAAAGAAAACTGAAAAAAGAAAAAAAAAAGAAAAGAAAAATGAAAAGAGAAAAATATGGAAGAGATGAGATTAAGACTTGTTATTTTACTTTTTTTCATTCACACATTAATCCTTATTAAATAATTCAACATGTATTAATCTTCACATATTCTATATTCGTAACTAAATAAATTAACTAAAACATTGTTGATTAAAATTAAGGATAAGAGTTTGAATATAGTCACATTTCGCCAATTGTCAATCGCGTGTGCATATCTGCCAATTAATTCAAAGTATGATAACGTCACGCTTCGCTTATTGTCAATTATCATATTAATGATTTCTGTAATGATAAGATATTAAGAAATTATCGTGCGGTAGTGAAGATTGAAAAGAAGTAGCGGAAAGAGTAGGAATTTCTTTAAATAATCAGTTAATTCAAACCGCTCGACGACCAAGAACTCTGATCTCTTTCGGAGTTTAGGACAGTTATCGCGAATGGACAGTTATCGCAATTTTACGAATGTTGGTTTTGTGCATTCAATACATCCGGGCGTTTAATTTTTCCGACATTTCCTCCACTGAGCAGAGAGAAATTTTATGAAAATATATTGAGATAATCGCGCGCACGCGCGCGAATAGTAAATGAAAAATAATGGAAATATAATTAAAAGTAAATAAAAAGCTCCAATATTAAATCATTCATGAACGAGTGCTTCTTCGAGCTTTTTCAACGTAGAGAAAGCGGCAGTAAACGATCATCTGCAGCATCGAGGTAGGTCAACATCTCAAAATTCTTCATTGACTCTTCAAGTTCAATGGAACTTGCAGACTCAATGTAGAATCAAAATTTCGACTCGGGTAAACGCTCTAAAGCAAGTCCTTCTTTAAGTCTCCACATGGAAAAAATGATTTATAATTTGTACACGGAGAGAATATTATAGTTTTTTTCATATAAATTCTTTTCAATTTTATTATGTTTTTAATTTTACTATGTTAGTCCGGGAACAAACTTTACTCAGTAAGGTCTATCTTGTTAAAGAACATAAATTTAGGAAACATGAATAATAAGAAACATAAATTTCGCTAGAAACACAGCAAGTTTTTTAATAGTATTTCAGTTTCTAGAATATAAATAGCATACATGAAATGAAAGAATTATTGCAGAATATCGAGATCTACAACTCGATTACAAAATCCTATAGTAATCTTTACTATGATTTCTTACTATTCTCTTCGTGTAGCATCAAACTTTAGTCTGTGCAAACTATCTCAAGATTCTCGACTAGCCTACAAGTTCAACATATGCAGGCTTAACATAGAATCTAAATTTCGAGGTGACATAACCGCGGAAAACATATACGACCGAGATAAAAGGGGAATCTCGAAATGGGACGCGCGCGAAATGAAACGTGTCCGTATCTTTTGCACGTGAATATATCGCTCGCGTATCGTTGCGAATTATCGGGGAGGAATAACGTTTAACTTTTACGCGTAGAATTTGCGAGACGGTGACGGGATCTGACGATGTGATTTCGCGGTGGAGAAAACATACCGAAGGAAAAGAAAGATTCGTTTAACGAGAGACGATGAAACGAAAAAATGTTTTTACCGCACACCCGCCCTCGTCGGCGCACCGAAAGCGAAGAGAAATTAAGTGGAACTTATACCCTCTGAAGTGGATCAGTACACACGTTAAGTCACATCGGGCTGTTTACGGGGAGCGGATCTCTTTCGCGAGAGCGGAAGAAGTTTCGTTAAAAATTCCGTCTGTCAACCTCGCTCGGCCGCGGCTCGCTTGGAGGCAACCGTGAAAGTAGCCTCGTTCCTTTTTTACGAACTTTCTCCATCATTTTCCGCCTGCAGCTGACTCTCGCCAGCAGAAATTCATTTATACATCTTGAAGAGCGTTTGACCTCGTGGGAGTGGGGGAGGCAGCGTTTCAGTTCTTATCAAAGACTCGGAATCGATCTTCTCGAAATATATTTCTCTCTTTCAAATCCAATATATTCATCTCACTGTAAATCCTGTTATTGTAGAAAGAAATTATCGGCGAGCAGGATTATTCTGCACGATCGTAAGATAACACTCAAATGCTTTGAAACCGATCCTGACGCCGAGGTTCGCTTAAATCCACAGTTAGAATTTTTCCGCGTCGAAACGAATAATTGACACGTAAAATTAAAAATTCTATCAATTCTCGACCTCCTTTCCTTCCTCGCGGCGATTCTTATTCCCGAACGCGTGCAAAGCGGAAGTCATAACACGCGCGCTTAAGCGCCATGTAACGAAATGATCCCGTAGAATAGATCGAGGATATAGAAAGCGTTGCTTAGAAATGGGCACATGCATGCCAAATGTAACTGAGGTATCATAAACGAGCCCATTTAACGAGGTGGGGTATAAGGTCGAAGGGGATGTAAAGTGCGGCGCGGGAAACGGGGGAGGTAGCTGACCGAATTCGAGGATATTTGAATTCTCAAATGCGGGGGAGCGAGTCGCCCCGTATCCCTCCGACCTACAACGAGTTTCTCTATCGAGATAACTTCGCCATTTGCCTAAAGCGCTCGGAGCTCGCGCTATGAGTGGCTCGATCGCGTAAAAGAAAGTACGCGCACATACATGTCGCTCCAAATCTCTCTCTTTCTCTCCTTCTCTCTTCTTTCTTCGTCCGTGTGAACAGATCTCACGATTCTGCTCAGCGCGTTCGAACGAAATCAAATCTCGCAAACTTATGGCTCATCCGAATAAGCTTCGACAGAGCAATCTCTATGTCTAATGCGCGCTTTTCCTTCGAGAGTATCGACTCAATGGACGGTAGAAAATTACTTGGAAAGTCTCTTCGATGAAACAAAATATCAGTCTCTCTCTCTTTCTCTTTCTCTCTTGATTCCTGTTATCGCTCGCGTTACCAAGCAGAACGCATCTCTGCGGAATTACCGGTAAAACGCGTCGTGCATCATCCCAGATGGGCCTTTCGGATTTACACTATCGCGCGTAGATTTACGCGGGACAATGTCAAATTGGCGGCCAAAGTATACACGAGTCGTAACACGGGCGAACGCATGGATCAAGTCTTTATCGTGACAGCGGCTAGATCGAGGATGGACAGTAAGGGATGCGAGTCCTCAGAGGGTTTGAATGGCCAATTTGTCTGGGCAGCCGGCCCAACCCCTCAGTCTCGCCGGTAACAACAACAACAACGCCGACGACAACCCGCAACAGCGAGTTCCCTGTGCTCGTCGAATCGGAAAGGTTCCCCTAATGCATCGTGTCCAGTCGTTATTTCGTGATGTAATTGCAAAAATGTGATTTTCGACCGCGGGTAATTTCAATTACATCTACGAACGCGCGCACACACGCGCAGCTGCGCGTTCTCGAGGGTCTTTTTCGTAACCATCAACTTCGCGAGAGGATGAGCGTGTTTCGCTTTGCGGCGCGGGTCGCCGGCCCCGTGCAGCGAACATTAATTAAATCGAGCAAGTCATGTAGAGGAGGGAGAGAGAGAGGAGGAAAGAGGGGAAGGGGCAGTGGGAGAGGGTCGGCATCCCTTTGAGCTTGCGGCAGTCACTATCGCAAATTAAAGTCCGGTTTGGCGCGCGTGAAAATAATTCCGCGTGCGCGAGCGCGGATTCCGCGCGCTCGACCGGGTTTCGATTCCGAATATTTATTCGGCGAGCCGGATTTATCGTCAGCCCCCCTTTCGCTCTAGCCGCCCCTAACCGGATATATATGCATTTATACGTATACATATATATATATATATATATATGCGTGTGTGTGTGCGGGTCGTCGTTCGAATATCGCGTTTTGTATGGAAACGCACGCCCGAACACGTACTTGGAATAATCCTCTCGAAAATATCAAAGGGCCCGTACCCTTGCACTCCCCACCACCTTTGCGTCCCCTGCCCGAACATGCCGCCCGGTTCTTTCGCAATTCCAGCGGTATGCGGGGTGCGCGCAGCCGTTCTTTGACTCGCTATTACCGTAAATTTTGCGCGAATAACCTTTCGTCTATGTGCGCCGCGTTGTACTTCGATGTAACAGGAAATAAATTAGTTCCGTTACGCGCGCGCGACACGCGGAATTTCATAATCTCGCTGACTCCCCGCGAGGCCGCGACGATCGTTAGTCGCCGTTCGACTCGATGAATTCAAAATGAAAAGCTGCCATGCGCGAAGTGCGACAAGAAGATGAATAACGAGGCGTTCACGAAAACTCACTCGAAATCATCGTACGGAATCATCATAGTGTTTTTTCCGATATAACCAGCCCCGCGAACACGGCCCGTAAAGTCTCGTTAAATTGAAGCCGAGAGTTTAAACGCTCGCGATAGTGCAGATACGCACGGGCGCGTGTACGCGATTCTGTTCGGTCTCGAGGAAGAGTCGCGGCTAAATAACCGCGTAACGAGCCGCAGGGCAATGGTAATGACGCGGTGGACTTTA